CTGTCTCCGTTTAGGCAACAAAGTAACTGCCGTTACTTTGTTCCATGACCAACCGCGCCCTACAACTCTGCTCCGTTAGCAACAAAGCAGCCTGCTGTTATCTGTGTTTCCATGAGCCCGACACGCCTAGGTTACTGTTGCGTTCACAGCAACAAAGTAAACTGCCTGTTTACTTTGTTTCCATAGCCAACGCGCCTGCGGTAATTGTTTCCGATGGCAAACCTACCAGCTTTTTATTTCCAGCTGACGGATGGCGCCATCGAGGCACAGAACGAAGACGTTTTTTTTTTTTCCCAGAGTCAGAAACCGGGTCAAGACCAGAACCAGGCGGCCCTCGAGCCCAACTGGCGCCTCCCGCCGGGCCTCCTCCCGGGTAGCCACGGCTGGGAACTCCAGCACGCGCCTCCACGCCGGCTCAGATTCGTTTCTGTTATATATTTTTACTTCCCCCAATTAATTTCTTTCCTAATTTTTCAGTAGAGAACGACGGGTCTCGGCTCTTGCTCAGTCCCGCTCCCAACTCCCGGCCTCCAGCGATCCTCACTGCCTCAGCCTCCCTCCCAGTAGCATAGGGACGTACAGTTTAGTTTCCTACTACTATATATATTAGGTTGTCCAGGCTCATTTCTTTCTATATTTACTAGTAGGGAGACGGGGTATCGACTCTTGCCAGAGGCCGGCCTCCCACCTCCTGGCTCCTCGAGCGATCCTCCCTCCCTCCGGCCCTCCACGAGCGCCCGGGACGACATGCGTGGGCCTGCGCCTTGCACCGACGCCACGACGGTGGTTGCGCGTGTGCAACACACAACCCGGAAAACAGGACCGGGGGCGAAGCGTCTGCTCCTCATTTCTCCCCAGGAAAGACACCCCACGAGCGCTCCACTCTTTCAGGGACACTGCTCCAACTTATTTATGTTGCTTTTTTTTATTTTGTACTACAAATAAAAAAATATTGCTATTTAATCATATTAAAACGATATTTTAAGATATTATTATTTCAATTACATATCCCCCCCAAAACATTAACTTCTACTTAAAAATGAAATTTTTATTTTACTTTATTTATTTTTCTATTTTTGGAGCCACAGGCACCACGGACCCAACAATAAACGAGGCCCGGCCTCCTCCTCCTGCAACCTCCTCCTCCTCAACTCCTCCTCCTGGCTCTGCCTCCAGCGAACCCCCAGCGTCTCTGACTCTGTCCTTCCCCTCTCTAGACCCACCTCTCTTCCCATCACCACACCACCCACACCACCGGCAGGGCCGGTCTGTCCGGTCCCGGCACACTCCACTCCACTCACCCCCCTGCCAACCGCGGCGCGTCGTCATGGAGACGGCCCCCCATTCCCCGGCGGGTCAACCCAACGGCAACCGTCGTGCTACAAGGCGACCCGGTCTCCTGGCCGGGCTCTCGACGGGTCGCAGATAGATGCTCTCTCCGAGACGTCCCCCGGAAAAAAAAAAACAAAAAAAAAAAAAAATGGGCCATTTTGGCGCGGGGGGTGCGGTGGGAGACTCCTTAATTTGTTCGGGGGGAACACGGGGGACCCCCTACGCCCTGCCCGCGAAGCTTGAGTTTTTTTGGGGGTGCTCCCGGCCGACAACGAGTCACATATGTATATATATAAATAAGCACACACACACGAGCCACCCGTGCTTGCTGACCCCAGGCAGGGTGGAGCCGACCTCTTGGGCCTCCTACTAAAAAGAAGATTAAAAAAAAGAAAATTAAACAAAAAAAATATACATAATCTCGCGCAGGGGGGTGATGGACGGACGGACGGACGGACAGGTGGGTGGACAGGTGACAACTCCCCCTCCCGCCGCCCTGGAACTCCACCGGAAACACCAAGGGGCAGATCTTTCTCACCAGCAGGTGCTGCCCCCCTTCCGAGGAGAGAGAAGACAAGGCGATGACGATCTCCAGGAAGAAGACGGGCAGGCCACTCCCGAAGAGGAAGATGAAGTACGGGATGAGGAAGGCCCCTGCAAGGGGTGCAGAGAAAGGTGGAAGTGGGGGGGGTAACCGAGGCACGGGAATTCCTACCCGGAACCCACCCACGGTTTGGGTTTAAACCCGGGGTCGTCCCCTTCCCGGAAAATTCCCCTGGGTCGGTCGGGAACTGGACCGGGAGACTGAGTTGGGGTCTAGGGGGGATGGGCTGTGTTCGGGGAACCTTCTAGAACGTTCGTCAGGGACCCCCCAACACTTTCCACCACCGGGAAAAGGCCGGGCCCCTGGGAGAGGTTAAGAGATGAGGCTCGGGCCCTGCCATGCCAGGTCTCCGGGAGGAGGCCGGGGAGGGAGGATCGCTATGGAGGCCCGGAGTTTGGAGGCGTGCAGGTGGGAGGATCGCTACCTACGGAGGCCGGGAGGTGGAGGCCGGCCCGGGCAAGAGCGAGACCCCGTCTCTACTTATAAAACCAGGAGAAGTTACTTGGCCAAGTAATAGAGAGAGAGAAAGTCCCGCTACTCGGGAGGGGAGCGGGGAGGGAGGATCGCTACATGAAGCGGGAGGTCGAGGCCGGCCGGGCAAACAAGCGGGAGAGAGACAACACGATCTCAACTAAATAGGACAAGACCATATAAATATAACAAAAAGAGCCGGGGCGTGTGCGCACGCCTGTCGACCCACAGCTCTCGGGAGGGAGGCGGACAGGCGGGACGGATCGCTCGAGCCGGGAGGTGGAGCCAGCCTCTGAGAAAGCCGAGGCCGTTTACACTATAAATAGAAAGAGTAATTAAATCGACAACTAAAAATAATGACTAGAAAAGATTAGCCGGGCACGGAGGCTCAGCCTTTCATCCCAGCTACTCGGGAGGAGCCGAGGCGGCGAAGGCTCGCCACGAGGCCAGCGACTCGAAACCAGCCCGAGCAAGAGCGAGACCCCGTCTCTACCAAAAACAAAAAACCAAAAAAACAGACACTCGAGGGAAGACGAAGCCACAGCTCCGTGCCCGAGAAACCGCTTGACCCCCTAACGTGACTATCGTAGCCATCCGAAGGACGGGGGAGGCCGGCGGAGGCGGAGGCCCGGCCCTCTTCTTCTTCCCTCCCCACGTCAACAGCGGAGGATGAGACAGAGAGAGAGAGAGAGGGAGAGAGGGAGGCCACAACAACGTCGTCCCCCCCCCAAGATTCCCGGGCCTCGGCGAGGCCGGGGACGGAGAAGGAAAGCAGGGGAGAGTAGAGGCCGGGCCTCCCGGACCGACCTCCGCCGTTCTTGTAGCAGAGGTAGGGGAAGCGCCAGACGTTGCCCAAACCCACGAAGCCGCCGGCCACGGACAGCAGGAAGTCGATCTTGCTGGACCACTTCTCCCGCTGCGGGGGCTTGCCCTCGGCCTCGTCCTCCGGCCTCGTCCCCGGGCTCTTCCCCGGCGAGGGCTTCAGGATGTCCTTGTGGAAGTCCTTGAGGCACTGCAGCTTCTCCTTGGTCGCCATGGCCGCGCTCTCTGCGGGGGAAAAAATAAAATAAAAATAAAAAAAAAAAACGAGGTGAGCCGGAGGCAGGGAGGCCCAACGTGGAGGCTCCTCCCCGGCGGGGAGTCGGGGGGTGGCCTCTCGGTTTTTGTTCTTGTTTTTTTTTTTTTTTGAGATGGGGGTCGCCGGGGGGGGCGTCAGCCTCGCTCACGGCGGCCTCCGAGGGCTCCGGCGAGCCTCCGGACTAGGCCTCCCTCCCGAGTAGAGGCTGGGAGGACAGGCGTGAGCCACCGCGCCCGGCTCATTTTTTCTATATATTTTTGGTTGACCAATTAATTTCTTTCTGTTTTTAGTAAAGACGGGGTCTCGCTCTTGCTCAGGCCGGCCTCGACCTCCTGACCTCGAGCGATCCTCCCACCTCGGCCTCCCTCCCGAGTAGCTGGGACTACAGGCATGCGCCTCCACGCCCGGCTCGTTTTTTCTATATAGTTTTAGTTGTGTAATTAATTTCTTTCTATTTTTTTTTTTTTTTGATAGAGACGGGGTCTCGCTCTTGCTTCGAACTGCTTCCCTCGAGCAATCCGCCCGCCTCGGCCTGCCTCGGCCTCCCAGAGTGCCGGGATGACAGGCGTGAGCCTCCGTGTTTTCCATATATATTTTTACTTTATCCAGCTCATTTCTTCCTAATTTTTTTTCAGTAGAGACGGGGTCTCGCTCTCGCCCAGCCCCGGCCACTTCCCACCTGGGCCTCAACCGCTCGGTCTCGGGGCCTCGCCAGTGGAGGCCGCCGCTTGGGGACCTCCTGGCCGTGGACGGGGACGTGCCGGCCGCCCAGCCCAGCCCTTCCTCCCGGCCTCCTTCCTCCTCCTCCTCCCAAGGGGACCCCGATTGTTTCTGTCTCTGGTGGGCCCGACTTCCTGGAGCCTCCACTGGGAGCCTCCGCCGGGCCGGGCAGCTCACAAAGCCCTTTTCCTGCCGGCCGCCCAGACGGGCGGCTGCAAAAATAGCGGCCGATTGTCACCGGCGGCCGGAAAAGTCTCAGGATGTGGCCGGCGGCCGACAGAGAGTGACCTCGGGGCTGGCCGTCGGCCTCCAACCGAAAAGAGGAGGAGGCCGGCGTCTGCTCACGCCGTCGGTCTCCTCCCGTGACCCGACCCGATCCGATCCGGGGTCCGGCGACCTCCTGGGACACCCTGGCATCCCCCAGGGCCGCCGGTAAGAGGCCCGGCACTCGGGGAGGCCGGGGCGGGAGGCTAGGCTCGCTAGAGGCCGGGAGGCGGAGGCCGGACTGATGAGCAAGAGGGAGACCCCGTCCGGCCTCTACTGAAAAAATGGAAAGAAACGAGCCGGGCGTGGAGGCGCATGCCTGTGGTCCCAGCTACTCGGGGAGGGAGGCCGAGGCGGGAGGATCGCTCGAGGTTGGGAGGTCGAGGCCGGACTGAGCAAGAGCGAGACCCCGTCTCTACTAAAAATAGAAAGAAATTAATTGGCCAACTAATAGAGAAAAAAAATGAGCCGGGCGTGGAGGCGCACGCCTGTTGTCCCAGCTACTCGGGGAGGGAGGCCGAGGCTGGAGGATCGCTTGAGGCCGGGAGGTCGAGGCCAGCCTGATACGCAAGAGCCAGACCCTGTCTCTACTATAAATAGAAATTAATTGGACAACTAAAAATATTTAGAAAAATATAGAGAAAAAAATAGAGAAAAAAATTAGCCGGGCATGGAGGCGCACGCCTGTAGTCCCAGCTACTCGGGAGGGAGGCCAAGGCGGGAGGATCGCTCGAGGCCGGGAGTCGGAGGCCGGCCTGATGAGCAAGAGCGAGACCCCGTCTCTACTACAAAAAAATAAAAAAAAGAATAGAAATAAATTAGGCGGACGACTCAAAATATATATACGGAGAATATTAGCCGGGCGCGGTGGGATTGAGGGAGAGGGAGGCCGGGGCGGGAGGCTCATCGCTGGAGGCCAGGAGTCGGAGGCTGCTGTGAGCGAGGCCGAGGCCACGGCGCTCACTCCAGCCCGGGACTCCTTCTCCAAAATGGACGGGGCGGGGGTGGGGGTGGGGGTT